CAACCCCTTCCTATAGACCTCCAAGGAAGGAGAACCCCTAACCTCCTGAGGGAGACCGTTCCACGGTCAAACAGCTCTTGCCGTCATAAAGTTCCTCCTGATGTTAGCTGGAATCTCATTTTTCATTAAGTTGTTTCAGCTAGAATAGGAATTGGGAGCCTGTGGCATTCCAGATACAGTGGTACCTCAGGTTACAGACGCTTCAAGGTTACAGATGCTTCAGGTTACAGACGCTTCAGGTTACAGACTCCGCTAACCCAGAAATAGTACCTCGGTTTAAGAACTTTGCTTCAGGATGAGAACAGAAATCACGTGGCGGCGGCGGGAGGCCCCATTAGGTAAAGTGGTACCTCAGGTTAAGAACAGTTTCAGGTTAAGAACAGACCTCCAGAACGAATTAAGTTCTTAACCCGAGGTACCACTGTATTGTAGGACCTCGACTCTGCTCATCCCTGACCATCGGTCCTGCGGGCTGTAGCTGATGTGAGGGGAGGGCTCTTAACAACATCAGGAGGGAAGCAGGTTCCCCATCCCTGAACTAGGAAATAATTTGGAGGTAAGCATAGGCAAGCAAAACCACCATAGCGGAGGGAAATGGCTGCGGAGCAGCAGGACAACAGGAACTACCACAATGTTCATAATATACTAGTAGAAAAAGCCTGGGGAACAGAAGATGATTAAAAAAATAGGATGTGCAAAGCTGGTGAGTGGCACAATCATCCTCATTTCCTAGGATAAATCACATGAGGAAATCTCTGACATCAGTCCCTGAAAAGGCCACTGTTCCTTTAAATACTAAAAAGGTAAAGGTACCCCTGACCATTAAGTCCAGTCGCAGACAACTCTGGGGTCGCACACTCATTTCACTCTATAGGCCGAGGGAGCCAACGTTTGTCCGCAGACAGCTTCCAGGTCATGTGGCCAGCATGACTAAGCCGCTTCTGGCAAACCAGAGCAGCGCACGGAAACGCCGTTTACCTTCCCGCCGGAGCGGTACCTATTTCTCTACTTGACGTGCTTTCGAACTGCTAGGTGGGCAGGAACTGGGACCGAGCAACGGGAGCTCACCCCGTCGCGGGGATTTGAACTGCCAACCTTCTGATCGGCAAGCCCTAGGTTCTGTGGTTTTTAGACCACAGCACCACCTGCGTGTGACATCAGTCCCTGAAAAGGCCACTGCTCCTTTAAATATTACTATAGCCGCAATTTCCATTGAAGAAAACATGCCCATCGATTGAAAGCTTTGGGTTCTTGTGCAAAATCCCTGCAGGCCTGAAACAAATTCCTAGGCTGGGAACATGCTCGGAGGCACCCAGGACAGAACCAGAGAGGTGCAGAGGGAGTGTGCTACATTCAGAACCCAGAGTTCTGTGGATCCAAACCATCTTTTACTAGGCAGGCCCTGGCACCCTATGCTACTTGCAGTTTCAGTTCTCTACTGGTGGAGCACTTTTGCTCTTCAGCAAAATGGCAGATTTTGGGATCTCTGGCAGGCTGTACGTCCCCTGACATAGAGGCAAGGCAAGGATAAGGCAATATTGCATCAGTTGCCACCTTTTTATCTTCCTTCCTGGAGGATACCATACCTTAAGATCTTAATATAAATCACATACTGTTGCGGCCCCCCCCCCCATTTTAAATGTTTTTATTAACAAATTCCACATAACAAATTGTCAAATCATATTCATTATTTTTCCCCTTTTTCCCCACCCCCCGTTCAACCCCCCCCCCCCGACTTCCCTGAGCTCCTCTCTCTGATTTCACAGCACATATTACTCTCTGCATGTTATAAAATTATACATGTCCTTACATTATCCATCTACCATATTAAAGGTAAAGGTACCCCTGCCCGTACGGGCCAGTCTTGCCAGACTCTAGGGTTGTGCGCTCATCTCACTCTAGAGGCCGGGAGCCAGTGCTGTCCGGAGACACTTCCGGGTCACGTGGCCAGCGTGACATCGCTGCTCTGGCGAGCCAGAGCCGCACACGGAAACACCGTTTACCTTCCCGCTAGTAAGCGGTCCCTATTTATCTACTTGCACCCGGGGGTGCTTTCGAACTGCTAGGTTGGCAGGCGCTGGGACCGAACGACAGGAGCGCACCCCGCCGCAGGGATTCGAACCGCCGACCTTTCGATCGGCAAGTCCTAGGTGCTGAGGCTTTAACCCACAGCGCCACCTGCGTCCCAATCTACCATATTATCAACTATTAATTTGTGTATGTTTATTCCAAACCTGCCAAGGAGTCCAAATCATTTTGTTGTCTTTTTAGATAAGTTGTAAAAAGCTCCCATTCTGCCTTAAAGTCACAGTTGTCCTTGTCTCGCAATTTGTATGTCAATTTAGCCAACTCTGCATAGCTCATCAATTTTTCTTGCCACTGTTCTTTCGTTGGGATTTCCTCATTCTTCCATCCTTGTGCTATCAAGACTCTTGCCGCTTTTGTAGCATACATAAATAAATTCTTTGTTTTTCTTGGCAGGTCTTGTCCTACAATCCCTAACAAAAATGCTTCTGGTTTTTTTACAAGTATAAGTCACATACTGTTTTCTTTCCTTAGTGATGGCAGATAGAAACAATAGAATCTTTCTAATACTATGTTTAAAGCAGCTGGTCTCCAAACTGCATCTTCTGAGTAATTTGCAGTTCACACTTGAAAGCTAGTGAGGAGGGTGATTCTTTCCTACTTCCACTAATTTATCCTGATAAGAGTGGAACCAGAAGTCAAGCTACCGTGACATAATGCAGATTTGCTTGCTCTGAAGGTCGCAGGTGAATGGCAAAGCATCCGCTTTGCATGCAATAGGTTGCGAGTTCTATCCCCAGCATGTCCTGGGAGGACAGGAAGAGGGCCTTACCCCAAACCCCAGAGAGCTGCTGCCAGTATGTGCAGACAATACTAAACTATATGGACCAATGGTATGACCCAGGATACAAAAGAAGCCTATGTTCCAAAGTACCTATGTTTCCTTGCCAAAGGTAATACCTCTTCACTGGAAATGTAAAGGTAAAAAAAAAGGTAAATTTCTCTTTTGTCCTAAGGTTTTCCCCCCTCTCATTTTCTTTACTGAATCTGTGGCTTTTTCTTTCGCACTGGCGGCGCTTTTAACTGTTTCTACAGCAGATGGTGCTAGAGGTCAGGATAAATGATTACTTTTCCTAATCATTGCAATCAGATGCTTCTAGCTTGTTAAAATCTGGATAGTGGGGTCTTGTGCTTTGGGAATCCTGGACAATTTTGCCCATGCAAATTATCGGGATTTTGTTTTGTGCAAGAAGGTTGGGGGATGACGACAACAAAATGTTGCAGCGTATCCACAGGGAGTGGTGACACAGCGTGTCCTGGACTCCAGCCAACTTCCCTGCCCACCATGTTCACCTTGAGGACACACTAGGTCAGGGGTGTGGAACCCTATGGGCCAAAGGGGATCCACACAGCGTCCCAGAAGCCACACACTTCTTGAGTGCTTTCGCCTGGAATGTGTCCTTGAGAGGTGTGTGTGTGTGTGTGTGTGTGTGGTCTAAACCACTGTGCCTCTTGGGCTTGCCGACTGGAAGGTTGGCGGTTCGAATTCCCTCAATGGGTGAGCTCCCATTGCTCTGTCCCAGCTCCTGCCAACCTAGCAGTTTGAAAGCATGCCAGTGCAGGTAGATAAATAGGTACCGCTGCGGCAGGAAGGTAAACGGCGTTTCCGTGCGCTCTGGTTTCTGTCACGGTGTCCCATTGCACCAGAAGCGGTTTAGTCATGCTGGCCACATGACCCAGAAAGCTGTCTGTGGACAAATACTGCCTCCCTCGGCCTGAAAGCGAGATGAGCACCACAACCCCATAGTCACCTTTGACTGGACTTAACTGTCCAGGGGTCCTTTATCTTTACCTTTAATGTGCAAAAACCTCTGAATTCTTTTTGCATGGCTGGAATATAGCTTAGTATACAAATATGAATCTATTGCTCCAAGCACTTCTGTATCTAGCCTGCCCATTACAGTCATACCTCGGGTTACAGACGCTTCAGGTGGCGCGTTTTCGGGTTGCACACCGTGCCGAACCTGGAAGTATCGGAACAGGTTACTTCCGGGTTTCAGCGCATATGCAGAAGCGCCAAATTGTGCTTTGCGCATGAGCAGAAGTGCCGAAGCGCGACCCGCACGTGTGCAGATGCAGCACTGCAGGTTACGAACACTGTGGGTTGCGAACGCGCCTCCCGCATGGATCACGTTCTCAACCCAAGTGTCCACTGTACTATGACCATCCAGTGAGGTCTGTGGGGGAAGAGGCTCCTTTCCCCCCCAATGCCAGAGATATTGTTGGCGGGAATAAGCGAAAGTCTGAACAAGTGTCAGTTTGACACCTGCTTCAGGGACAAATATCAAATCTGAAGGTGAGGTGGGGAAACAGGTACTGTGGTCTGATCCTGCCTGGGGCGCTCCAAGGTTGCTTTCCTTCCAAAATAAAAAGCTTGAGCTCACTTAAACAAAACAAAACAACCCACTATGAATAATGTAATGTGTACTTTGGCCCTTAGCCACTTCCCTGCAACAGCAGATTAATACTGCAGAGAATGATCCTGGCCTACCTTACAAGGTTGCCGTAAGGATTGCTGAGCTAATGTTGTCAAATGCCAGATGAATGCAAAATAACAATAATCCTTGCGAGCCAAAACAAACAGGAATCTCCAACCTATTAAAGAAAACGTGAGTGGCACCTACTGATCCTGACGACTTAAACACTAATGTTTAGTGTGAGCTCTTGGCTTGGGAGGGCAGGTTATATAGCTAAATAATATCCTAAATTATGGGCCACTGTGATCATTATTTTTAAAAGTCATCCTATTTCTCTCTCACACACAAGTTTTTGACTGTGGTGGGGAAGAGGCGACTCATCGTCTTTGAGTAGCAGAAATAAAGCAAGCTAAACTTCCATGTTAGAGGCATCAGTCTGAGATGCAATTTTGCAAGATCTCTCTCTCTCTCTCTCTCTGGGGTGTGTTTGTGTGGAGGACAGCTCCTAGGAGGCAGCACACTGGCAGCGAAGGCAGCCTACCAATGAGAGGTGGAAACTGAGCTCTCTCTCTCTGGTTGTTTTTTTTTTACTCTTTGGATCTTTGGAAAACCTGCTGTGTGATGCTGCAGTCATTTCTGATCTGAGCACAGGAGTGCTCTCTATCCCTCCTGATCTGCGGCCAGGGCAACTTGGCTGTCGAGGAAAGTGTTTTGCCAGGTGTTCCCGTGCAATCTGAGAAGAGTTTTTTCTATCTATCTACCTATCTTGGAATAATAGTGCCATGCCTTCTGGATTGCAATACAGCCTCTTTCTCTTCTTGTGCCTAACATCATGTCAGGAATCTCCAGCATCCCAGGTAAGCCCCATTCTCCCAATCAACAACCAGTTAGGTCTGGATACAATTTCATCTATCTATCTATCTATCTATCTATCTATCTATCTATCTATCTATCTATCATCTATCATCTATCATCTATCTATCTATCTAATATATCTATCATCTATCATCTATCTATCTATCTATCTATCTATCATCTATCTATCTATCTATCTATCTATCTATCTATCTATCTATCATCTATCTATCATCTATCATCTATCATCTATCTACGGTATTGATCTATCTATCTATATATATATCATCTATCTATCATCTGTCTCTATCTATCTATCATCTATCTTGTTGTTTAGTCGTTTAGTCGTGTCCGACTCTTCGTAACCCATGGACCAGAGCACACCAGGCACCTCTGTCCTCCACTACCTCCCGCAGTTTGGTCAAACTCATGCTGGTAACCTCGAAAACACTATCCAACCATCTCGTCCTCTGTGCCCCCTTCTCCTTGTGCCCTCCATCTTTCCCAGCATCAGTGTCTTCTCCAGGGAGTCTTCTCTTCTCATCTATCTATCATCTATCTATCTATCTATCTATCTATCTATCTATCATCTCTATCTATCATCTATCTACAGTATCTATCTATCTATCATCTATATCTATCTATCTATTATCTATTATCTATCTACGGTATCTATCTATCTATCTATCATCTATCTATCTTTAACATCTATAAAATCTTAAAGGGGGTATAAATGCAATGCATGAAAGAAAAAAAGGACAAGTTTCCCTTGACAGTAAAATGAATGGTTTATTATTATTATTATTATTATTATTATTATTATTATTATTACTAACTCTTGCTTAAAAGACTGGACTTTATTTTTGCTCCCCCTCCCCAGCCTCATGTGATTCTTTCTGTAAAGGCAACAGTTAAGTAAAATGGTGGTTGCTAATGCCCTTCGATACACACCCTCTAATTTTCAACTTCACACCATCAGACAAGAGGTGTGGTTAATATTTTGTGTAAATCAGAAAAGACACGCAGGAAACAATATCAAATAAGCACCATTAGTCCAGACTAATATGCAAATCTTCATCAGGAGAAATTTGAAGACCAAAAAATATAGCCTTCCCATCACTTAATTCTCGAATCCCTCGACACTGTTCGAGGTGAAGAATGCAGCTCCCTCCAGAAGTGTAGGGCAGGTAATTACTTTTGCAAACTATCTGCCTCTGAAAATTCTTACATTTCTTGCCCTGTATCCCTGCTAATAATGCAACTGCAACCCTCTTGCTGGGTTAGGAAAGAAACTCAACCTGTTCCTCCGTTAATGCCTGAATAAACCAGCGCAGTCAAGTGATTGCAGAGCTTGTGAGTTCAAGTCACTTTGCAGGAATATCAACATGGGCTGAGCGAGCTGCACATTGATGAAGTTTATTATGCTTAACTGTAGCGCAACAGTTCAGGTTAAAAATAACTCTTTAACAAAGAGCTTATTATAAAGGTATCCAGTATGACTTTTTTTTAAATGCCTGCTGCCTGCTGCATATGATAAGAGTCTTGGGCAAGAGAAAACTTGTTCACTCCCCAAACCCCGAGAACATGCTTCATATAAAACATGGCAATTAAATTCTTGTTCATTCAAATTGTAAGGAAATGTCAGGTTTATTGTGTCTGCAGTCGTTCCTTTTTGACTGGCTCCTGTCCCAGTACTTAGTGCTGACTTTTGATCCTGGTGAAGAAGTTGTGCAACGGATAAAGAAAGTCAATTTCATAGCAAAAGCAGCATTTGTGTGTCTGTGCATGTGCGATCAGCAATAAGAAGAATTTTCTTCAGTTCGCATTTTACTTTGAGCTTGCCTGATTTTAATGCAAGCTGTCCTGCAAACCCAGCTATATTTCAAAACTTGCACTTCTCTGGATTTCAGGATGCAGTTTTCAAACCAAGAAGAGTGCACGGGGGGGGGGGGGGGAAACGACACCTATATTAACCTAGGGATTTCCTTGCAAACATATGTATAATAGGCAAAATTGCAAAAGAAAGAAAAAGAGATGCATATATTAGGCTTAACCTGCATGGAAATGCATGCTGATTTTCGTGTTGACTTTTTTATTAAAATTGATGCGGAAATAGGCAAGGCTGGGGAAATGGGAAATCGAAAGAAACTGAAAATGACAGGTTTGTGCATCCCTATTTGTGATAGATGGACAGATATTGATAAACTTGCTGAAATATACTCGGAGTCAAGTGTGCATTTCATGCTCTTTATTCATCTCATAGTTATGAGGAGGAATGGAAGTTCCCCCGAAATGTCTGCTTTATATACATTATTTACACAATGGGCCCCACGTGATTGGCTAATTCTGGGATTCTCCTGTAGGCCAATCAGGTTGCGGATTCACTTCCACCTGGAGTTGGATTGGGTGGCTCCTGCGGACCAATCAGACTGCTGCATTCTGGATCCTATTGTTCTAGGACTTCAATCACCCATTGACTGGACCGTGACAGTCTTCCCCACTTGATTTGTATCATAGAATCATAGAATTGTAGAGTTGGAAGGGACCTTGAGGATACAGGAATATGCAGCTCTCCCATATGGGAATCGAACCTGCAACCTGGGTATTATCAGCACCACACTCTAACCAACTGAGCTATACCGACCTTCCTGCACCTCCTTCAGGGAATCCACAGTACCAGCTTCGTAAGGCAGAATTAGCTGAGTCATTGTGACCTGCCCATGCCACCCACCAAGATCCGTAGCTCAGTGGAGCACGACTTGAGCCCAGAGGTCATTTCACACGTTATATTTTTTATAGCTGGAAGCTGAAACAATTTGTGTACTCACAACATTGTAAGATGAGTGTCAAGGACTGGCTGGACCAAGAGGAGTGGTGGGAGGCACCAGCTGGGGAACCCCCAAGGGAAACCCCAGAGGAGGAAGGCTCAGAGCCAGGGGGCGGGTGGTGGGACACTGAGGAGAGGTCAGAGGGAGAGGATTGGGAGGCAGGGCTGGATGCTGAAGGGGCAACAGGGTTTAGTGAGCAGGAGGAACCTGTGACAGGAAGCAGTTCAGACACCAAGGCTGAAGCAGAGGAGAGGGACTGAGAGATTGCTGAAAAGACTTCTGAAGAATCCAGGGAGTCTCCCTCTCCTGCTGCGACAAGCTCCCCTCCCTGCTGGTCTCCAAGAATGCACAAGATAAGGAGGAAGCAAAACAGAGGCCAGAGGTGGGCAGATGCAGTTTGAGACTGCTTGGGAAACATCCAGGAGAGGAGAGCCTTAGAAAGGGTTGAAGGCAGGGACCTTCAGTCCTGGCAATTGCTCCACAGAGGCAAGATCTGCTGGGAAGTGTTGCTGAGTTGTCTGCCATGTCCTTGAATAAAGAGTTAACCTCACTGACAACCAAGCCCTGCGTCTTTCGTGCTGACCTGTGTCTCATGCATGTGACAAATGTGTTTCAAAGAAGTTTTGACGTGAGCAATAGTTCCAGCAATTGTGCCTGGTCCATGGGGTCACGAAGAGTCGGACACGACTAAACGACTAAACAACAACACATAACACTTGCACAGACAGCTCCATAGATATGCATTTATGGCTGAGTGGATATAGGATTTAAATAGCGTAACAGATGGATTAAACCCTTGTGCAATAGGTAACATTCCTTTCTTGCAGGAGGCAAACAGAACTGAACATTTTGGCACTCTCAGGGCATAAAGGAAAGGCAGGGGGCAGCAGCTGTTGAATGGAGATCCTTGCATTCCATTTGCTCTCTTGGCAGTCATTTACATGAAAGTATTTCTCGCGTGACACTAAAAGTGATTTTGGGGGCTCTTCCAGCATGTTGTGGGATACAAGCAGAAAATAACTATTGTTGTTGTTGTTGTTTTAATCAGACACTCACAGTTTTGCTTGTGCCAGCATGGCAAAGTCAGTGCCAGCAGTTGGAAAAATTGGGTCCTTTTGGGGGACCCGGACCATAATAATAATAATAATAATAATAATAATAATAATAATATAAATTTATTTATATCCCGCCCTCCCCAGCCGAAGCCGGGCTCAGGGCGGCTAACAACAATAAAACAGTACAAAAGTACAGTATAAACAACACTCTAAAATCATTCATTATAAATTAATTAATTCAAGCCACTGTCAACCATTGGGCCAGAGCTCCGCGAAGATTGCCTAGGGAGGGAGTCAGGCTGTGCCCTGGCCAAAGGCCAGGTGGAACAGCTCTGTCTTGCAGGCCCTGCGGAAAGATGTCAAGTCCCGCAGGGCTCTGGTCTCTTGTGACAGAGTGTTCCACCAGATCGGAGCCACAGCCAGTTAAGGAGCTGCCTAGCCCAAGAGACCCACCGACTTTGCACCAAGCCTGTCGCCATGGAAGAAAGGGGATCAAGTGCCATGGGCAGCCAAATACCCATTAAACAAAACAAAATATGTGGGACCAGCCATATCACCTGATGGTCCACACACAACTCACCAGATTTCATCTCGGCTCCACCCTTGCACCGTCAAATACAACACTCTGCCAAGAAGATCAATATTACTGACTTCCAAAGTTGGCTGCCCGGGCATTGGCCCAGCTGGAAAGGCCAGTACCAGTTGTGTATATTGATTAGCACAAGGGAGGAGAATCGGAAGGGGTGAGGCCATGCATGCTAGCATGGTGACAATGACAGTCATATGCCAACGATCTCATCAGCTCACGGCTATGCTAGCCACTCTTGGCATAGCTGTCAACGTTCCCCTTTTTTAAAGGGAAATTCCCTTATTCTGAATAGGATTCCTTGCAAGAAAAGGGAAAAGTTGACAGCTATGACTCTTGGCCCCTGTCTGACATTTGCTGGACCAAGGAAAAGTTTGCACTATCTTAATAGCAACAACAACAGATTTATTTGTTACACTAATACATTTAATTTGTTCTCTGCCAATCTTGTAAATAGCCATAGACCAGGGCCGGGCAACGTTCAGCCCTAGAGCCTTGTATGGCTTTCAGCCTGATGAAAAATCCCTGTACAATTCAGACCCCTGGCAAGAGCAATCTGGTCCTCTCCTGGTACATACATACAAAACTTTATTTTTATGCCACCTTTCCACAGTTCAAACCATGCTCAAAGGTGACTGGAACATGGAAAAAATACATAACTACAACATCACAAACGTAGACATAAACAATAAGCAAAGTATTAAAAAATGCACGACCAAACAATTTGAACAATTTCCACCTAAATGACAGCCAGATCTAAAATAAAGATACAAATTGCAGCAGCAACAACCTCGCCCAACAAAACACCCAAACACCCCAGCCCAATTTGGTAGGGAACGAGGGTGGCAGAAAGAAAGAAACGGAGGTGGGGAGGGGTGAAAGAGCAAGAAGGGTGTTGGGGGGGGGAGCAGTGGCTCCACCCATTTTTGTCCCTGGCCCTCCCCACCCCTTGCATGTGGCCCCCCAAAAATGCAGCTGTCAGCAGAAAACAGATTGCCAACTCCTGCTTTTGGCAACCTCCATTGATATGAAATGCACCCTTATAATAGATAAATACTACTGAATTACCGTACAAAATCAGTAGTAGAAGAAAACTATAACCTATTCAAAAGCATAACATCTCAGGGCAGCCAAACAACAGTCACCTGGCTTGAATGTTGAACCAGGTCAGCCTCTGCCAACTTGGAACCCTCCAAATATTTTGGACTGCAACTGTCATCAGCCTCAGCCAACCTGCTCTGTCAGAGTTGAGAAATGTTAGAGAAGGCTTGGGCCCTTTAAATGAAAAGTGACCTTTCACTGATGATGGAGCTGACCCCTCCATAAGCCTCAGCCTAAGAACTGCTGTTGCTGAAGCAACATCTAAGTTCTACAGCATTCAACCTGAGCACTGCACGGAGCTGTCCAGAGTTCCCAGACAATTGCTGGAACTATTGCTCACATCAGAACTGCTTTGAAACACATTTGTCACATGCATGAGACACAGGTCAGCATGAAAGATGTAGGGCTTGGTTGTCAGTGAAGTTAACTCTTTATTCAAGGACATGGTGTACAACTCAGCAACACTTCCCAGCAGATCTTGCCTCTATGGAGCAATTACCAGGACTGAAGCTCCCTGCCTTCAACCATTTCTAAGGCTCTCCTGTCCCGGATGTTTCCCAAGCAGTCTCAAACTGCATCTGCCCACCTTTGGCCTCTGCTCTGCCCTCCTCCTTATCCTTATTATCCTGCACATTCTTGGAGACCAGCAGGGAGGGGAGCTTGTTGTAGCAGGAGAGGGAGACTCCCTGGATTCTTCAGAAGTCTTTTCAGCAATCTCTCAGTCCCTCTCCTCTGCTTCAGCCTTGGTGTCTGAACTGCTCCCTGTCACAGGTTCCTCCTGCTCACTAAACCCTGTTGCCCCTTCAGCATCCAACCCTGCCTCCCAATCCTCTGACCTCTCCTCAGTGTCCCACCACCCGCCCCCTGGCTCTGAGCCTTCCTCCTCTGGGGTTTCCCTTGGGGGTTCCCCAGCTGGTGCCTCCCACCACTCCTCTTTGTCCAGCCAGTCCTTGACGCTCATCTTACAATGTTGTGAGTACACAAGTTGTTTCAGGTTCCAGCTATAAAAAATATAATGTGTGAAATGACCACTGAGCTCACGTCTGTGCTTCACTGAGCTACGGATCTTGGTGGGTGGCATGGGCAGGTCACAATGACTCAGCTAATTCTGCCTTACAAGGCTGGTACTGTGGATTCCCTGAAGGAGGTGCAGGAAGGTCAGTATAGCTCAGTTGGTTAGAGTGTGGTGCTGATAATGCCAAGTTGCAGGTTCGATTCCCATATGGGAGAGCTGCATATTCCTGTATCCTCAAGGTCCCTTCCAACTCTACAGTTCTATGATTCTATGATACAAATCAAGTGGGGAAGACTGTCACGGTCCGGTCAACGGGTGATCGAAGTCCCGGCTGAGGATGTTGGGACCGGGGGCAAGATGGTGGGGTGGGAACAGGAACTCGAGTCTAGAAGCCAGGGGTCCGAGGGTCAGGAAGCAGAGAGTCACAAAGTCAAGGGTCCGAGGGTCGAGAAGCAAGGAGTCAAGGAGCCAAGGAGCTGGGGTCCGAGGATCAGGAAACAAGGAGCCAAACACAGCAAGGCAGGAAACGTGTTGCTATGGCAAAGAGCCGAAGGGAAATTCTGACCTTATATCCCTTAAGGCTCTAGCCACCAGGTGCAGTGAGGTACCAAGCGGTCTCACCTGTGAGGCCGCGCCTTGCCTCTCCAGAACAAACTTAGGAAGGTCCCAGTCCTGCGAAGCCCTACTGGTCACAGGGCCCAGCTCTTGCACGCACTCCTGACAAAGACATTGGGGGAAATGGCTTTCTAATTGTACTCAACCATCATGTTTAACGCCGTACATATAAAGGCACATTTAAAGGCCTGATCCAGCTGTTTAAAGTCTTTGTGTTTTCCACAGAACTGCATGAACAAGCAGCAGCTTCTGACTGCCATCCGCCAAATGCAGCAATTTCTAAAGGGGCAGGAAACGAGATTCGCCGAGGGGCTCCGCGTCATGAAACACCGGCTGACGACTCTGCAAAACACAGTCATGAAAACCACCCCTGACCCACCAGCTGGTAATTAAACCAACAAGCCTAAAGTGATGGCGGTGCAAGAGCAGGAGCAACATTGCTCAGATGGAGAACCCAGGGCACAGCCAGCAGCGTTATAGGACCAGATAGACCCCATTGGCTCCTTGTGTCATATGACCCCTATATACTGCCCATCCATTATTAAATGACATTTGTAAGTCTCTCTTGGATATAGAGGTAGGATAATCTTCAAACAAAACAAGTAACAATATTTTTTTTAAAAACTATGGGTGTAAAAGGGACGCGGGTGGTGCTGTGGGTTAAACCACAGAGCCTAGGACTTGCCGATCAGAAGGTCGGCGTTTTGAATCCCCACAATGGGGTGAGCTCCCGTTGCTCGGTCCCAGCTCCTGCCAACCTAGTAGTTCGAAAGCACGTCAAAGTGCAAGTAGATAAATAGGTACTGCTCCGGCGGGAAGGTAAACGGCGTTTCCGTGTGCTGCTCTGGTTCACCAGAAGCAGCTTAGTCATGCTGGCCAAATGACCCGGAAGCTGTCTGCGGACAAACGCTGGCTCCCTTGGCTTATAGAGCGAGATGAGCGAGCAACCCCAGAGTCGGTCACGACTGGACCTAATGGTCAGGGGTCCCTTTACCTTTACCTTATGGGTATAAAATGGTGGGACGGTGCAAGATCCAAGCCCATTGTAAAAGACATGGGTCTTGCCCCCCCCCCGAGTCACCCTCTAACCACACCCCTGCAGCCCAGCATGATTCTGTGATGGTGATGCTTTTGCCCTCTTTCCTCTAAGAAGAAGAAGAAGAAAAAGTTTGGATTTGATATCCCGCTTTATCACTACCCAAAGGAGTCTCAAAGCGGCTAACATTCTCCTTTCCCTTCCTCCCCCACAACAAACACTCTGTGAGGTGAGTGAGGCTGAGAGACTTCAGAGAAGTGTGACTGGCCCAAGATCACCCAGCAGCTGCATGTGGAGGAGCAGAGACGCGAACCCGGTTCACCAGATTACGAGCCCACCGTTAACCACGTCTTTTTTGTGTGTACCCAACTCACAGTGTTCTGCCCTGCCCTTGATGCCCCACTGAATGGCAAAAGATTTGGCACCAAGAACATGGTGGACCATGAAGTTCATTTCACCTGTGATCCTGGATTCCGACTTGTCGGCTCCAGTTCTCGAGTGTGTCAGCCAAACGGCAGCTGGACAGGAGATGTTCCTGAGTGCACAGGTAATTCACTTTTTTATTCCCTTGGCTCGGGCATAAACACTCACCTTCAGATTATCAAACATAGCTGTTTCAGGAGCAGCCACAGATGCTGAAGATGGATGAATTTGTATCCCACCTTCCCTTGGAGAAACTCAGAGTGGCATACATGGTTCTCCCGTCCCCAATTTTATCTTCATAACAATCTTGTGAGGTAAGGCTAGGCTCAGAGGAAGTGACTGGCCCAGGGTTATCCAGTGAGCTACATGACTGATTTGAACCTTGGTCTCCTGGGTCCTAGTCCAACACTCTAACCACTACACCGCGGTGCTGGCTCTTGTGGACTACAGCTTCCATAACACCTTATCATTGGCCAATGAGGTTGAGGCTGATGGGAGCTTGAGTACAATTACATCTGGGGAGTCATAGGCTCCTAATCCTTCTTGCACATGATATGGTTAGAAGACTATCACTTTAGCATTTATCCTCAGGCATTACTCATCATTGATGTGCAGGGTTAGGGCCAAACTAGAAGTGAATTTGAATGCACTGAACATGCATATTTTTGTAGAATGGAAATAGCATCCACGGGGAAGCTGATCAGCCTTAGGACTACTTGCAGGGATGGGGGTGAAGGGGGGGGGGCGAGTTGAACTCTTTCCCAAACTGATATTTGCATTTCAGGGTAAACTGCCATTGATGCCAATGGAGGCTTTCTTTGCAATGCAAAAAGAACAAAAAGAGAAAAAGCTGTTTCACAGAAAGGATTTGTTGTGCCCAAATTATTGCCGATTGCTCTAAATCCACACGACTGTTGTTCATTGTGTGTGAGGCTGCAGATCCAAGCATATGTCAACTCTTTTAATAGGCAATTTATTACTAGGAAACAGATGACAACATCTGAGAAATCGACTGGCACAAACACAGTAATTAATCTTATGTGCTTTTTGGGGGGGACCAACGTGAGGGTTATCCAGATTGGCAAACGAGAAACTCATACATACGGTAATTACCTCTATTAAAAAAAAATTGTTTACTGGGCAGAAGTCGGTTCTGTTGATGATGAGCAGGCATTTGGCATAACACACACATTTTATATTCCGGAACAGCCATTGTTACTGTGCTTGCCTGTAGCTGTAAGAAGGCAAGAGAAGTGTGGTAGAAACGTCAAACCATGGAGGGAAGACGTGGTTGGAAGCCTCAGGGTGCAACTCTGCTCACACTGTAGGCTGGTGTGCCTGCATGAGAAGCATAGAGACGACTCTCCGAGCTTATTTATGCTCACCTTTTGCTCTTCCTTCAGTACAGTGGTACCTCGGGTTACAGACGCTTCAGGTTACAGATTCTGCTAACCCAGAAATATTACCTCAGGTTAAGAACTTTACCTCAGGATGAGAACAGAAATCACGCGGCAGCGGCACGGCAGCGGCGGGAGGCCCCATTAGCTAAAGTGGTACCTCAGGTTAAGAACAGTTTCAGGTTAAGAACGGACCTCCAGAACAAATTAAGTTCTTAACCCGAGGTACCACTGTATTAATTCTCTTTGGGCTGCTGACCTGATGGCACTCCCTTCTCCTTCTCCTCCATGCCATATTTCAAATCTGGACAGAAAGTTTGGTGAGCTTCAGCTGACATATGGCAACCCTATCCATGCCATGACAGCAGACATACTTGAAGATCTTTTCCACTGAGATGGAAGACCAAGCATGGTGCATCTTGGATAGTACTAGGATCCTTCTTCTCAAGAGCCAACATGGTGCAGTGGTTAGAGTGTCAGACTAGGACCTAGGAGGCCCCACTTTTTCATGAACCTCTCTGGGTGACCTTGGGCCAGGCACTGCCTTTCTGTTCAACCTACTTCATGTGGTTTTTGTGGGGATTAAATGAAGATTGGGAGAACCCTATACATCACCTTGAACTCCTTGGAGAAAAAGGTGGGATATAAATTCAGTAAAGTAAATATTTCCTGCAATAAATGTAGCTCATTTTCCAAGCTCCAAGAGTCACAATGTGATTCCATCCAGAACAAAGTGTGCTCCTCCAGCAGGGAATTCTGCAGCAAATTCAACTTCTGCTGAGAATTTAAACTCCAAGGTCTCTGCAAACTAGAATTCTCCTGCTGGGTGCTTTAGAGCAGTGTTCCCCAACCTTGGGCCTCCAGCTGTTTTTGGACTACAACTCCCATCATCCCTCACTAGCAAGACCAGTGGTCAAGGATGATGGGAATTGTAGTCCAAAAACAGCTGGAGGCCCAAGGTTGGGGAACACTGCTTTAGAGCTTTCCTTCTCTAATCTGGTTCCCTCCAGATGCTCTGTACTACAACTCCCATCAGCCCCAGCCAGCACATATGACATAAAGTAGGTGTGGTTTAGGGGAAATGGTCTCTTGGGTCAAGTAGGAACTTGTGCCTGGTGTAATTAGACCTGCGGGCCAGAGGATTCCCACCTCTGGATAGAATACTGTACCACAGATGGGGACTAGGGACAATGGGAAAGGCCAATCTGAGACCAGACTAAAGGACCAGATGCAGCATGTTGGTGGGGGGCCCTCTATAACAGCAATTGCCTCTTAGCTGTAGGGAGACTTGAATGCAGAACTGTACTTTAAAAGGGTGTGTGACAGCTTTGAAGGAATACAATACAGGCAGGAATTCAAAAAGATATGAGGCAGAATACAATGCAGACAAATAGTATATCTGCAGTGTTGCCACTGTAGCCCATAGGTGATTCTGGGTGCAGAAAAGAGATGGCTAACCCATCCCATTTGAAATCTCTTGACTAATTTTATTATGACTGTTAGAATTGCTTTTGCTGGAATCCTGAGTGATGCAAGATACTATTAATGCACAGTAAAATGCATATTGGATTACCATTTCTTTAAACATATTAGTTGTCTTTTGACTCTCCAAAAATGCTTCTTCATTTTGAAACTACTAGTATGAACATTCTGGGTTGAACAGAAATTTATTCTGAATTGAACCTGCACTTATCCCTAAAGCGTGCCTTCCTTGTATTTTGCTTATTGAAATGCAATTGGGGAATGAAATTAACTACAATAAGCCATAGAAACTGGCCTCTGGCCTTGCTCCTGTGTCTTTTACAGCAGCCTCACACACAAAAAGCCCACCAGCAAAGCTTTCTCATCAATCATCTCTGTGCCAAAAAATCCTTTACTTCCTTGGTTTCTGTCCCTTACAGTGTTTCCCAACCTTGGGTCTCCAGCTGTTTTTTGACTACAGCTCCCATCAGCCCTAGCTAGCAAGACCAGTGGTCAGGGATGATAGGAATTGTAGTCTGAAAACAGCTGGCAATCCAAGGTTGCGGACTACTGCCTTAGAACCCCTGTTTAGCATTTTAGAATATTTTAAAATGTTTGTAGCACATGGAATTCTTCGCCTTCAGCCTTCCCCAAACTGGTGCTCCTCAAGATCCTTTGGACTACAATTCCCATGAGCCACACCCTGATCATGGGAGCTGCCTTTTATTGCTCCTTTTTAGAGATGTTGCTGGTTTTTATTGTGCTATGTCTTACTATATTTGTAAACCACCTTAAACTATATGAGGGAAGCCAAGGGTCGGGTAAATAACAGCAAATAAATGGAATGTTATGGCTAGCTAATTTTTATTTCCTGTTAATGTTGGTCCTTCACCACACATTGCCATTTGATGGAGAGATTGCCATCTCAAACACTGGATTAAATTAGTGTGTATCATAGCGCGCTGTGTGTGTGTGTGTGTGTGCGTCAGAGAGAGAGAGATTTGCATCCATTTTCCTGACTTTGTCTTTCTCAGTTAACTCAATGCAAAAATTCTTGGCCCTGGTCTGTGTGGTTTACATTTTCACACGCTCCTCCATAGGGTGCTTAGGCCCCTGTGCATTGACAGCGCTGTTTGTTTAAGTGAATTCCTACCTCATTGTGCAAGATGCTAATGAGCCATTGAGCCGCTGGCCGACCAAGCAGCTGCGAAGGCCAGAGACCTGCCACTCTCCATTGTGTTCGAGAAGACAGACATTTCTAAAGAGATTATGGCACAGTGCGCTAGACGGCCAGCCAGATGTGACTCTAGAACAGGGGTGGGGAGCTGCTTTTCAGACCAAGGGCCGTATTCCCCATCTGGGCAATGTTCTGGAGGCCACATGGCAGTGGTGGGAGGGGCCGGAGCCAATAGGTGCAAAGCGATGAAATCTACTTCTGTACATAAGTTGGTTTCTATGCACAATCACCTCTTCCATCCATGCAGCCAAGAGGAATGACCAGAGTTCAAGGAGACATCCTAGCAGGGCAAAAGCACAGGAAGAGTGGATGGGGTTAAAAGGGGGTGTCGCCTGTGGAGAGGCAGGAGGGCTGGATAGAGAGGTCGGATAGAGAGGGGATGCGTTGGCCTCTGGCCCAAGGTTTGCGACCTTTGGCCAAGAATCAAGTGAGCAGTGGGAATTAGGAGAATGCCCGTTGCTGTTGTCCACAGCGGTCCCATTCACAACATACATTTAGATCACCATGATGCCACTGTAAATAGTAATAGTGCCCCTCCAAAAGGATTCTGGGACCTGTAATTCTTAAGGGTGCTGAAACCCTTTTGCCCTCTGTTATGTACTGAGTTGAATAGTATCCAAAATGCAGCAGTCTGATTGGTCCACAGGAGCCACCCAATCCAGCTCGAGGTGGAAGTGAATCCGCAACCTGATTGGCCTACAGGAGAATCCCAGAATTAGCCAATCACGTGGGGCCCATTGTGTAAATAATATATATAAAGCAGACATTCTGGAGGAACTTCCACTCCTCCTCACCACTATGAGCTGAATAAAGAGCATGAAATCCACTCTCGACTCCGAGTATATTTCACCCTCACAGAATTACAATTCTCAGAGTGGTCAAACCATTCAGCTGGACACTGAGGTCCACCTCCAAGGCACTGGCGGAGGAACGGGAGTGTGGAGGGAGCGGACAGCCCCCGGCACCACTATTCCGGTAGGGTGCCATTGCGGTGCCCCCCCCAGACATGCGCTGTGCACCCCCATGCACCGGGCACCACATCCCCACAGGCAGCACGCCACGCCCCTGCCTGCTTTCCGCCCCCAGTAGCGGAGCATGCAGCTTTGCCACTGCTCCAAGGGTCTTCTGGCTGTTCCTTCACTGTGAGAAGTGAAGTCACAGGGAACCAGGCAGAGGGCCTTCTCAGCAGTGGCATGCACCCTGTGGAACGCCCTCCCATCAGATGTCAAGAGGATAAAGAACTACACCACTTTTAGAAGACATCTGAAGACATCCCTGTATCAGGCAGTTTTTAAGGTTTGACGTTTCATTCTGTTTTTATATGTGCTGGAAGCCACCTAGAGTAGCTGAGGAAACCTGGTCAGATGGGTGGGGTATTATTATTATTCATCCCTCTTCACAGGGAACTCTGTGAATTGCAGCTCTGGGAGGGGAGTAGGGGTTCTCCTAGCAACTCTCAGCACTCTTAAGGAAACTACATTTCCCATAAGCCTTTGGGGGTTGTCAGTAGTAGAGAGGTCAGTTGGTTAGAGCATGGTGCTGATAATGGCATGGTCACAGGTTCAATCCCCATATGCTTCTTCCGGCATTGCAGGGGGTTGGACTAGATGATGCTCAGAGTCCCTTCCAACTCTATGGATCTATGACTGTTTAAAGTGGTATCATAGTGTTTTTGCATATATGGCTTCAGTATGGCCAATGTCTTCCTTGGGTAGCTGGCATCTATGCAGGTGAAAAACCACCATTTGTTCTCTTTAGGACGTCTGGGCAGTGTCTGGTCCTCTTCACCTTGCCTAGCCCAGGTGTCGATGAGGCCTAGTGCACACACTCAGCACGGAAAGCCAGATGAGGATCTCGGCTTTGTAGAAAGTTCAAGGAAGCCGGAGCGGGTGGAAAAATTCGGCTACAACTCCTTGGCTGCTTGTTCAATAACTTCATGGTCTGGCGACCCCTGATTATTTAGAGTATTCTATTGATGATCAGGGGAGCTTGGCTTTTTGGCAGATGGGAAGCAGTGGCAATCCATGAGGCATTCACTCACGCAGTCTGTTTCTTCAAGGAATTCCACTGCGCTAATTATTTCAACACATAATAAGCCAGGGAGAGGTGAAAGGGTGCCTCAGGTGAATATAGATTTTTTAAGGGGGGGGGCAGGGGAGAATCTGGCCAGCTCTTGCAAATAAAAGATTTTGCTTCTTCCATTAAAGTGTATTTTACCTTGGGGAGGATATGCGTATTTGCAAAACCAGGAGGAAGCTGCCTAACCTTGTTGCAAACATGCAAATAGCCGCCATATTGCTGTTGGTTGTGTTCACCACAGGTTGCCCTTGAGCAGGGGTAGCCAATGAGCTGCCGTCTGGATCTTGTGGATTACAACTAGAGATTGGGGGAGAAATTAGAGAGAAATGCTTGAGAAAAATCTGTAGATTTAATCCAAATTTGATACCGAAAAGAAAATTATGAGGAGAAATTTGTACTAAAATGTTGTAGGCTTTCACTGAAGAACTTAAAAAGCAGGCTATGGGTTACAGAAATAATTTGAAGCTCTGAAACCTCCTTATTTTATTGGCCTTTCCTTAGATATTGGGGTTTGCACCAGTCACCTGTGCCAGAATGGAGGAACATGTGTTGACCGAGGTGAACAGTACAAATGCTTTTGTCCCCAGGAGTGGACAGGTCCCAACTGCCAATATCAAACACAGATGGGTATGTATTGTGGTAAGGGGTTAAGGAGGGTGGGAAAGAGGGATATTTAAACCTTAATGTGAGAGAGAGGGGAGGGCAGGCCCTAGAAACACAGGACATTATAGAGATTCAGACGATTTGCTCATTTAGCTCAATATTAGCTACACTGACAATATAGCCATAGTCGCTGGTTTCCACTGATATCCTTTCCCTCCATGTGGTGGAAGTGATCAAAAAGCTTACACAGAAAGAGGCAGAGGAATTGTCATGGGAATGCTGGTTTTGCCCATCTCCGTCCCCACACTTTGTGTGTAATATGTAGTTTTCCCCTCATTGTCACAGATGTAGAACAAGCCCACCACTCCATTTTATTAGCTGCGTAAAAATAAAATTAAAAGTAAGGATGTCTTCTCATTTGCGGTTTGGGATTTTACACTGTCCTGGAGGTGAATTCTTCCCTCCCTTACTTGTCCTTTAGTACCACCAGAATGGAGCGTAACAGATGATCCGGCGTTCAGCCGTAAACCTCGCTGCGCCAAGTTTGACCGGATGCAGCAGTGCAGTTGCGAAGCAGGCTTCCACATGAGCGGCACAGCAGAAAACAGCATCTGCCAGGGTAAGAGTGCAATTGCAAGAGATCTCTGAGGAGTCTGCTGCTACAAGCTGCTTCTGCTTCCTGTCGAAGTTAAAGCCATGTCTAAACTTCAGAATATGGTGGTGTGGCCTTTCATTTATAGACTTTCAGTGCTGTATGGGGGGGGCGTGTTATAGAGTAACGTAAGTTAAAAAAAAAAGATGAATCCCTGATCCAAGGAGCTTAACACTGTAAATTCCAACAGTAAGAAAGTTGACAACAGTAGGAACTGCAACAACTTATTGCAGCATGGAGTGCTTCTGTTAAAGGGTTCCAGCACTCCATTCTTTTCCTTCTCTCTCTTAAAGTTTTCCGGTTCTCCCCCAACTCTTCCCAAACAATCAACCACAATTCTGTATCTCCAAAGTATCCTCAGTCCTCGTTGGGCTATTTAGTTCAGTTTTGCTTTTGGATGTTTATTTTTTGGTGGGGTGTATGCACAGGTGCCCAATATCAGAGACATTAAAACCTTGGAATTCTCCACTGATTACTGGGGACAGGACAAATTGTCCCCTAGCATATTTAAAAATAGCTTCTCAGCTTGAACCTGTAAACAAGCTATCCGGACAATGAGATGGTTCTCTCTACCACTTTTCTATCTATAAGCTTCTCGCTCCATTGCTTGAGCATGAGTGGCACAGATTTGCCAACATAAAACCCAAGCGGCTGAAGACTTGAAATTGATATTGATGTGTACAATGCAAACCCATTTGAATTGATTTAGAAAAGCAAAGCGGATTTATACATTTTCAAATCAATAAATGAAACGCAGTTGCAGCACACACACTTGAGCTCATGGTGAAGCCATGAGCACCTTTACTTGGAAGCAAGTACCACAGAGGATTACTCCAAAATCAAGTGAAGTCCAACCTTAGCTTCAGTTGGGGATAAGAACCAGAAGGTAATAAGATAAGGAGGTAAGAACTATAGAAGGCAAAAGGCCAGCCGGCCCTATCATTAGACAAAAGGTAAAGGGACCCCTGACCATTAGGTCCAGTCGTGGCCGACTCTGGGGTTGCGGTGCTCATCTTGCTTTATTGGCTGAGGGAGCCGGCGTACAGCTTCAGGGCCATGTGGCCAGCATGACTAAGCCGCTTCTGGCGAACCAGAACAGCGCACGGAAACATTGTTTACCTTCCCACCGGAGTGGTACCTATTTATCTACTTGCACTTTGACGTGCTTTTGAACTGCTAGGTTGGCAGGAGCCGGGACCGAGCAACGGGCGCTCACCCCATCGTGGGGATTCGAACCGCCGACCATCTGATCAGCAGGTCCTAGGCTCTGTGGTTTAGCACCACCTCAAATGGCAAGTGCTGACAGGCAAGACTGAGCACCACCAGAACTATTCTTCCTAAGCTCCCATTCCCCCTGGGGAATGTCCTATGCAACATATCCCTGGTCCTTTGAACTAGCCTTGCTCCTCAGGTGTGGTAGAGGGTGATTTCCCATCACAGGAGTTGAGAAGTAAGATTCAACAGCTAGTCCAGCCAGAATGGGCTGAAGGCACCATCTTGGCAATAAAATATCTGAAGGCGGCAAACTCTGCCACACATATAAGGAATTCCAAAGGGTTTCAACACCACCTTGCGGACTGCCTTGGGTCACTCCCAGGTCACTGTGTCTTAGGCAACTACTGGCGGGAACAAGCTTGCTGTTATCTGCACAATGGCCTGCATTCCTGAGCTAATTTATCATTCAAAGCTGAGCATCCCAGGCTTTAACAAAAAGGCCCTCCAGAGTTTTCCAGCGGCAGGCAATTTCAAGACGGGCCAGCAACTTAAGAATCAGATCTGTACAGCAAGGTTCTCCTTACATTGTTATCCAGCAGGAAGCACCAAGGGCTGTGCTTTTGAATAAACCCACACAGTTCATAGATCTGGAAGGGCAAAATGTATGCTGCTAATATATATAACACCAGTAGCATATCTCAGAATTCCGCACACACACCCCTTGCGCAGCCTGTCGTGAAATTTGTCCAAGCAGAAATAACGTCGCTTTTCTTCCCCTTTGCAGATGTGAATGAATGTGAAGTTTACAAGCTGGAGGGAGCCCCTCGTCTCTGTATGCACACCTGCATAAACATTCCTGGCTCCTACCGCTGTTCCTGCCCCAGAGGATACCAGATCTTCAGCGACGGGAAAAGCTGTGAAGGTGACTTTAGCATGAGGCAGATGGCATTTCGCAGAAGCTGAATGACAAAATGTGCAGGCTTCAGGCAGACTTTTCGGTCCCCAAAAACTGCTTAGATTGTATGCAGTGTGTTTCTCTGCAACCAGGGTTTAAGCTGCAATCCTGCACACTCTCTCCTAGCAGCAGGGACTTGGTTAGGCGTGCATACATTTTATGACTATAAATGCAAGGAAATGCTAACAGAATAGAAGCTGGACTTCCCAAACGCCGTGCAAGAAGCCAGATTTTTGTAACGGTTTGTAATGCACGGCTACTTAAAATTCTGGCTGTTAATGCCAAGGGAGGGAGACCCGCTGAAACAAGGTAGACATTGTAATGCCATTTAGATATGTCGGGAGGTATGGCGGTCAAGCGCCAAAAGGAATTGAATAGTGATATTGTATGCCTGAAGCATGCACTCTGTGCTCTCGCTGGCTACAGAAAATGCCTTCAGATTATGATAAAACAGAGCTAATCGCTGGGATTTGATTGGCTTTTTTGTTGTTGTTTCTAAAATTAAAGCATCTTGTGTAAGGGAACCAGACTGACACTGCACAGCTTAAAATATTTTCTGTCCACTCCACAAGCCAATTAACCTGGAATATTTCCACTCATTATTTACTTTGGTTGCATCCACACCGCACAATTGAAGCACATCTGACGCACACATACCCCTCCCCCCAAAAAAGAATCCTGGGAACTATAGTTTGTTAGTGATGCTATAGCTCTGGGTAAACTACAGTTTCCAGGATTATTGCAGGGGGGTACTTTAAATGTAAGGAGTCTTTTGCCCAACGTGGGGCTTGAACCCCCAACCCTGAGATTAAGAGTCTCATGCTCTATTGACTAAGCTATCCATGCATTTTATCCTTGCTACAACCCTATGAGGTAGAGTTAGGCTTGGGTCTTCTCATATTTATGGAGTGACCACTTAGGCCATCATCTGGAAACAGGAAATGCACCACCAAAAGAAGAGGTCAGAGGGTACCAATTTGCAGAAAACTTCCTTGGCAGAGCTCAGCTCCAGATACTTCTCATGTACATAGAAAGGATTTAGGTGGAACTTCTGTGCAACCGTTAGAATGCGCAAATTGTCACTGGCCTTGAGAGCCAAAGGGTGGAGAAGATCATACCTTCCCCTTTCTGTGTTAAGTGCATCACCTAACCATCGACTCTGGTCCTTTGCTTTTCATGTTTCCATTTGTTTTACAGACATCGACGAGTGTGCTCTCTCATCGCACAACTGTACCAGGGGAACAACATGCATTAATACAGGAGGAAGCTTTCAGTGTGTTAATCCAGAGTGCCCCAAGCCCAGTGGAAACATCAGCTATGTGAAAACATCGCCGTTGTAAGTATAACGGGAAAATTGTCGTTTGCCACCCTTGACGGCAGTAGGCTAGTTTAAGGCACCCGGGGCAGGTCATGCATGGCACAGAGTGAGCTCTATATTCCAACACCTCATCATACTCCCTGCTCTGCTCCCTTGCCTCACTCTGCCTAATGATAGAGCCGGCCCTAAAGGTAAAGGGACCCCTGACCATTAGGTCCAGTCGTGACTGACTCTGGGGTTCGCGCGCTCATCTCGCTTTATTGACCGATGGAGCCGGCGTACAGCTTCCGGGTCATGTGGCCAGAATCACTAAGCCGTTTCTGGCGAACCAGAGCAGTGCACGGAAATACCGTTTGCCTTCCCACCGGAGTGGTACCTATTTATCTACTTGCACTTTGACGTGCTTTCGAACTGCTAGGTTGGCAGGAGCAGGGACAAACAACAGGAGCTCACCCCATCGCGGGGATTCGAACCGCCGACCTTCTGATCGGGAAGTCCTAGGTTCTGTGGTTAACCCACAGTGCCACCCACGTCCCCCAGAGCTTTTCCTAGTTCTGGGCATAAGGAAAGAAATGATGACTGCCCACTGTGCAGTTCCAGTTCCTTTCTTTTAAAACTAAGAACCAAAAGACCTTGATGATCCAGGCTGTTGGCATATTGTTTTCTGGTCTGTGATCAAACATTACAACAACCTTATGAATATTCCCCCTCCAGCCAGTAAGATTACTTGTTATATTTTCTTTGATACAGGGCCAATGTTCTGTGCCTTGATTATGCACCATCACTGTGTGTTGCAAACGGAGCTTTGTTTGAGTTTAGACAACTTTTTGGGCACAATCCAGACAAAGTTAAAGACCTTTAAATCCAATTGATTTCCATGAGAGGTTTATTCTGCAGACGCACCATATCCTTATTCTTCGCCGCCTAAAAGAATCCTGGGAGCTGTGGCTTGTTAAAGGGTACGATGAACTGTAGCTCTGTGAGTGGTGAACTACAGTTCACAGGATTCTTTACAGATGAAAAATGTGCTTTAAATGTACAGTGTGTCTTCAGCCTTAGGCTGCAGCCATAATCCCATTTACCTGGGAGTAAGCCCATTGAATTCAATGGGACTTATTTCTGAGTAGATGTGGTTAGGTTAGTGCTGTTCACTGTAACGGGCAGGATTCACCTCATGAGCCCCGTCACCAGAAACCTTGCACAAGGACTTCTGCTTGCACCCTGAGCTTTCCCTTGCCTCTTCTCCCGCTGTTTGCCCCCCCCAAATTGGCTTGAGAGGTGGTTGGGAGAACCCCCAGAAGAGCATGGGTGTGGTGGAAGGGGGCAGAGTTGTTCCATCTGGCAATCAGAAACCCTTGTGCAGATGGAACGCTCAATTCATCAAAGCGTGACATTGAATTCCGATCCAATATGCCAAATTTTTAACCTTCAAAATAAATGAAAATGCATTGAGCGTTGGGTACCCTCAATCTTGGAGGCAACTCGGTGCCTCCGGATTCACTTATACTGCTGCTTTACAGTAGTACCTCAGGTTAAGAACTTAATTCGTTCTGGAGGTTCGTTCATTGGCTCCCAGTACGTTTCCGAGCACAATTCAAAGTGTTGGTGCTGACCTTTAAAGCCCTAAACGGCCTCAGTCCAGTATACCTGAAGGAGTGTCTCCACCCCCATCCTTCTGCCCGGAAACTGAGGTCCAGTGCCGAGGCCATTCTGGCAGTTCCCTCATTGCAAGAAGTGAGGTTACAGGGAACCAGACAGAGGGCCTTCTCGGTAGTGGCGCCCACCCTGTGGAACACCCTCCCTTCAGACGTGAAGGAAATAAGCAGCTATCCTATCTTTAAAAGACATCTGAAGGCAGCCCTGTTTAAGGAAGTTTTTAATATTTAATGCTGTATATTTAACACTTGATTGGGAGCCACCCAGAGTGGCTAGGGAAACTCAGCCAGATGGGCGGGGTATAAATAAATAAATTATTATTATTATTATTATTATTATTATTATTATTATTATTATTTACCTGGAACTGTTCTTAACCTGAGGTACCACTTTAGCTAATGGGGCCTCCTGCTGCTGCTGCGCCGCCACCACACGATTTCTGTTCTCATCCTGAAGCAAAGTTCTTAACCTGAGGTACTATTTCTGGGTTAGTGGAGTCCGTAACCTGAAGCGTCTGTAACCTGAAGCGTCTGTAACCCGAGGTACCACTATATTGTCATCACTGTATTGTGACTGTATTGTACATCACTGGAGGGAGGGCAGGATGTAAAGATATTCCATACAACGAAGAAATAAACACATCTCCTTCATACCCCCACCCTTCTCTTTCCTTCCTAGCCAATGCGAACGGAACCCATGCCCAATGGACAGCAGATCCTGCCACCATGCCCCGAAGACCATCTCCTTCCATTACCTCCCTCTGCCGTCCAACCTCGTCACTCCCACCGCCCTCTTCCGCATGGCGACCGCGTCGGCTCCTGGGCGGCCTGGCCCCGACGGCCTGCGCTTTGGGATCGCAGCAGGCAACGGCCGGGGCCATTTTGTCATGCAGCGCTTGGACAGGCAGACCGGCGAGCTCATCCTCGTGCAGAGCCTGCAAGGCCCTCAGACCACAGAAGTGGAAGTCGACATGACCGAGTACCTGGACCGCACCTTCCAAGCGAAGCACGTCTCGAAGATTACCATCTTCGTGTCGGCTTATGAGTTTTAACGGAAGCCGTTTGCACAGGGGAGGAAAAGAAGCAGCTTGCGGCCTGCTCTTATTCACCTGCTCTTATTCACCCACTTTTGGTTCTAACCACCAGCTGTACTACAAAAGCCGGAACAGACATCAGCATTGCTGTCTGGGTACTTGCCTGTGTTAATGCCAGGCTCAGATATAATGGCTGTCGCCTTTCTGCTTCTCCTCCGGGGGTAGCTAGCATGGCTCTCTCCTGATTCTGTTAGACTACAGCTTCCATCAGTCTTGTGGGCTGCTGATGGGAGTTTGAGTTCAGCATCATTTTGAGGGTGCCACATTGGCTATCCCTGTTTGACTTTAAACACTCGATGTCCTGAGTGCCTTGGAGGGATAATAATGTGATTGACTGCCAACTATGGTTGGTGTCCCACCTTGACCAACGCCCCCTTACTCTAACCCAGCCTTTCTCAACCTCTGGGTCCCCAGATGTTGTTGAACTACAACTCCCATCACCCCTAGCTAGCAAGGCCAGAGCTCAGGGATGATGGGAGTTGTAGTCCAACAACTTCTGGGGACCCAGAGGTTGAGAACCGCTGCATCTAACCTGCCCTTTGTTAGCCAATCCAGCATGCCACATATACAGATAACCTGTCCTTAATGCAGACATTCTGCCCTCATCCCAAGCAGAAGTTCAACTAAGGAAGAGTACAATATAGGTCATCTCTCTTTTTCTCCCCGTCCCTCTCTCTGATGCTGTATGAGAGCAAAAACATCATATCTCTGTTGCAAGGGATTTGATTCTACTTTCTGATGTTTGTAGAGTACTAATGCTGATCTGATGTCATGATTCAGCAACCATGGGAACACTTTTTAATTCCTGTTTATTTCAATGGGAAGGACAAGCAATGGTGTGCTTAACAGTGCAAACCTATGCATGTTTGCCTGGTAGTGAGCACCACTCATTTCGTATGTACAGCCCTAGCCATGTCTACTCAGAAGCCAGTCCTACTGAATTCTGGTGGAATATCTGAGAGTGGGGTTCAGTTTGCAGCCTAACTCTCTAGTCAATGTACACAGAGTTACACTGCACATACCTCATTTTGATATCAGTAGGACCACAACAGGACAATCTTATGCACATCTACTCTCAGACCAAGTAAGTCTCGCTGAGTTCAGTGGGGTTTACTCCAAGGTAAGTGGGTCTTATAGGATCGCTCCCTAAAATACTGAGCTGGATCAGTTCTAAATTACGTTGCAACAAACTCACCATTCCAGCCATACTTCAGAACTAGATTTTGAATATATATTTTTCATAGTTTGCCTGTGAAATAATAGCTTTGAGGGACACTTTGAGGAAACCGAATCTTAAGCCTTGATGATGAATTGTAGAAACCGTTATTATGGGTTTGGATGGTGCCCTGAGTCCCTTCCAGTTATCGGGATCCTGTATCTGTGGGGGTAAACCGTAGGGGAGCAAACTTACCAAACCAGTCCTTTTGTCTAGGTAAAGGTTTTGGCTGACTAGTTAAGCACCACGATTAGCATAACCAAAGAAGTTGCTCTCTGCCATAGCACAGGTGGGTGGGTCTCCCTGCCCCCAGCTGCTAGGAAGGAGAATAATAGCCGGTGTAGCATGTCTGAAAGAGGGAGAAGCAGTCTGGAAGCTGTAGGTGCAGAGACATGTTTGCTCTGTGCTGGATCCAAAGTTCTAACTAACAGAGAAGCAAGACCGGGGTGTTAATGCTGCGAGCCCCTCCATCTTATGCTCAGGTTGTATATATGTGTAAATAAAACGATTTATCCAAGAGGCATCACAGTCTCCTTCCTATGGCCTTCATTCCAAGGAAACTCAACCCCAAAAAAGAGCCTTGAACCCCTGGATTCTCTCACCACTCAGAGACTGGGGTGGCATGTAACACTATTACGCTAAATAGTAAATTGTCGGATTTGCACCTTGCATCCCCCGCTTCATAATCCCACTAAATTTAACAGTATTTATAACTGGGAATACCCCAAAGAACCGACGTACATATGAATGTATTTTCCCATTATGGTTCCTTGAGGTATTCCTACTTCTAGAAGCCTATTATGTTTAGTGGGCTATATATATAATGCAAATCGCTCTTATAAGGATCTGTTTACACTCTCTCTGCAATAGCTCTGTGTCCACCCCCTAGCTCCAAAATAATAAGAATTTTGTTCCAACTCTGATATCTTGTTCGGTCAAAGGGATGTGGGGAACACAATTCCATTAAACATGTCCTTGTTTGTATTTCGTGTGTGTTTTTCATTGAGTGCCTTGGATTTTATCTTCTTCTGCAGTTATGTATGCCCCTGGGATCATGGATCGTCAAAACCCAGATGTAGTTTCACCGAAACTGACATGACAGAAATCTGGATTATGACATAACATGAACAATGGCAAGCATCAGTACACCCAGATCTGCCTTGTTTATTGAGCATCCAGGTTGCTTTAATACCTGCATACATAAATGTGTGTGTATATATATATATATATAGAGAGAGAGAGAGAGAGAGAGAGAGAGAGAGAGAGAGAGTTTCTACATCAGTGGCAGAAACAGTCACAACACTGGCACAGAAATCTGGCACTCTTTGGTATCAGTGCCCAGGGGCGTACTAGGTATCTGCTTCTGCCAGAATAAGAAACCTGGTAAAAGGCTATATCAGCTGCTGTTCCCTAGGGGTTTTTTTAAAGTCTCTTATTGGAAGGGGAGCATCTATATAAATTTCCTGGCAAGTCAGGCTAGACGTTCTCAGAGCAGTTCCAGCAAGGAGCATATTATGGATGCCAAATTTACAGCATACACTTAAAGCACTACGGCGCCACTTTGTGAGGCCATGGCTTCCCCCAAAGAATCTTAGGAGTTGCAGTTTGTTAAGAGAGTTATGAAGAGACCCCTATTCCCATCCCAGAGCTGCAATTCCCCAAGGTGCCTGTGAAGAAGGATTGATAGGTAAACCACCTCCGGGAACAAACTCCCACTAAAGCAGGATTAGGGAATGTATGTTTTTTTCTAGCCAGGGTGCAGAATTCCTTTCTGGAGAACCTCCAGAGGGCCACTTATCAGTGGTGGGCAGGGCCAGAGGGAAATGTGGGTGGAGCAACAAATGCAAATTTTGTCTTGTATAATAGGCTGGTTTCTAGCCACATTCACACACGTCTCTCTGTCTTACAGAGTCATTACTGAAGTTCGAGGGCCATTTCCAACTGGGCAAAAGCACTCAAAGAGGGTGTGGAGCAGGGGTGTGTGGCCTGGAGAAAGCACCATGGGCCTGACAGAGAGGTTTGGAGGGCCACTTTCAGCCCCTAGACCTGAGGTTATCCCACCTTGCGTTGAAGTTGCATCTTTCACTATAAATCAGCAGTAGGAGGCCACATTCCCTCAGGAGATAATCTGTTGTAAGCTACATACCAGCGGTGACAAGTGTCAGGAGCTCGTCCTACACTCGAGTAGGACTCTGGCAGAGACACATGCCCAACTGGCATGTTCTCTCCCTCCTGGTCGATCGTTCAGGAGCTTCAAAGCTTTCTTCAACCCAAACATCACAGCGACTGATGCCAACAGACATCGGCACACTTAGGGATCCGCAGAGCCTTTGCAGCTTGCGTAACAGACCTCAGCAACTCAGCATTTTGGCTAATCTACTTTATTTACATATAAACACACACGGAGCACTGCAACATGGCTCCCCCTCTCACTAGCATCAGACAGCAAAGAGAAAAAGAACAAAGGACAATATTCCCACTTCACGGAACATAGTAACACAAACATCCTGTCTCTGTCACTTCACACTCTGTGGAGTCAAAGCATATACCATCATGTTTAGCCTGGAGAAGAGGAGGTTAAGGAGTGATATGATAGCCATGTTCAAATATATAAAAGGATGTCATATAGAGGAGGGAGAAAGGTTGTTTTCTGCTGCTCCAGAGAAGCGGACACGGAGCAATGGATCCAAACTACAAGAAAGAAGATTCCACCTAAACATTAGGAAAGAACTTCCTGACAGTAAGAGCTGTTCGACAGTGGAATTTGCTGCCAAGGAGTGTGGTGGAGTCTCCTTCTTTGGAGGTCTTTAAGCAGAGGCTTGACAACCATATGTCAGGAGTGCTCTGATGGTGTTTCCTGCTTGGCAGGGGGTTGGACTCGATGGCCCTTGTGGTCTATTCCAACTCTATGATTCTATGATTCTATTCTATGATTCTATGTGATAGACAACAATCCCATGACTGCAATCATGAAGCAGGAATTCTAACAACAAGAAGAGGAAAGGTGGAGCAGAACAGACCATCCCTTTTGTTTTCTTTCTGACATCCTCTCCTCTCCTTTCTCTCTCCCTGTCTAGCTGGGATGCAGACTCGTTGCTCTTCTTAGAGGTCTTAACTGGGCACTTGCAAATGACTTCCCTGCTCCTTTGCCCCAAGCCCCATCCATTTTGGGTTCCTCCCCATCCTTGCATTCCCACTTCTCTTCCTCCAAGCTCCCGCACCCATGTGAAATTAGGCCAAGGACCACACGCAGCTCCGTAACAGCTTGTGGCTCAGCCCTGCTATAAATAGGGGTGGAGAGAATTTTGATTCAGTTTGCATCTAAAAATGAATTTACTGCAGCCACCTTTTCTGAAATGGTGTCCTTCGACGTTCACACTTCTCTGAATTTTTGCAATGCCATTCTCCAGCCAATCAATGTGTAGATAAATGCACAAAGTGCCCATATGAATACACACCCCAAAAAAGACATTATATTGTGGAAATCAGCTATGCAGAAAGATGTGCACTGGGCAAATTTTCAAACTAAGTTGCATATATGAGGAGAAATGAGCACTAAAATGCTGGTGGTTTTTTATGAGGACATTTGTGAATTTAAGGCTGGAAAAATGAGAAATCGACAGGCAAAAATTGGCATATTCACACACCCCTAGCTATAAGCTATACAAAAGGCTAGGGACGAGGTGACTTTTCTTGCTTACTTGCCATGTGAACATGTTATTTGGTTTCAAGCGACAGCTGATGCAACAGGTTTCCAAGAAACCACCCAAAACAGAGTTGCCGGGGAGAGCTAGGAGAGAAAAGGAAAATTTAGGTTAACAATACTAGTGGGAAATCTTTGAATAAATAGATGCTGATTATACCTCTTTTATCTCCATCCAATCCCTTTTACATCCAGCGATCTCAAAACATTTGGGTCAATGATGTGACTAAGCTATTGGCTAAGAAGCTTGGACTAATTTGAAGTCATCTGCACACAGGAGCAAACAAAACTGGATGTTCCCTCTGGCACATGGGCCTGGGTGTTCGAGTTTCCCACGCAGCAGTGGTTCCCATCAGCATCTATCCAAAATCTCGTGTGAGGGCTGCCGTTTGTTTGGAAGGGATCAGCTTAGGCTATGGGACATCTAAGTGCTTTGCTAACTAGCTTGTGCATTTAGAGGGAACTGATCTAACTAAGCCGCGTCAATTAACCAAATGAAACTTGGCATTCTTTTTTTTTCCAACCAAGAGTACAAAATTAGCACTATGGCCCTCCGTGAATATATTTACAGTGGTACCTCGGGTTAAGAACTTAATTCGTTCTGGAGGTCCGTTCTTAACCTGAAACTGTTCTTAACCTGAGATACCACTTTAGCTAATGGGGCCTCCTGCTGCTGCGCCGCCGCCGCACAATTTCTGTTCTCATCCTGAGGTAAAGTTCTTAACCCGAGGTACTATTTCTGGGTTAGCAGAGTCTGTAACCTGAAGCGTATGTAACCTGAAGTGTCTGTAACTCAAGGTACCACTGTACTTACTTTGATCCACCTATTCATGCTTTCTGTAACAATTGCTGAGGGCAGAAATGGAATGGCACAACTCAATCTTCAACCTTTGAAGGCTTTTAAAGAAGATTAAACAAATTCACAGAGGAGACGGCTATAAATGGCGACTAGCTACTATTTTCTCATGAACACGGCAAACTAGCACACTGAAACTCCTTGCTTCCTACGCTGCACTCCCTCAGCTAGCCTGCTGCCTTCAAGTGCAGTGGAAGGTGCTGTCTCAACAAAAAGATTCGGCTCACTCGTCAGTTTTTCTACACAGACTGGGAGAGGTGCCATCTTTATCCTTCACCTCAGGAAGCAAAACGTCTTGGGTCGAGCTGACAGTGAAACGACACTGAAAACAGTAGTCACATGACTGTCTCTCCAACTCGCTCCGTCCATGCGTATTAGCATGCATTTTAGTCCTGTGAATTGCCCCAAACATCCCCCCAAAATCATGTCATTTCCTCCCCCTGACAAGTTCTGTGCTATCGTGAACAATGTACACGGCTCCCGACTCAGAGAAACACAATGGCTGTACATGTCAATCCATCCCTTGAAATCATGTATCAGAGAACAGCATGTCCTTGAAATACCAGGCCTGGGAGTTTCGGTTTCTTTAAATCGCTGAACCCTTGCCAATTTGTACCTTGGAAGTGAGCATGCAAACTGAGGGTTTTTTTTTAAATAAAAATAATAAAATCAATGTACCTATGTACTCAAAATATGTAGGTCAAATAACATATTTATCAGCTCGTATCTTTTGCCTATGAACATGTGCAATCGTGTTAGAATGGAATGCAACAAATGTGGAGGCAAACCTGGAGCTGTGCTCCCTTTTTTTTTTGGAAGCATAAGCCAACAAATCTCTCCTTGAGATTCCCTCTTCTTTTAGATGGGGCTTCGTATGTGTTAAGTTGTGGGTTGACATAGCAGACGACACAGCGATTTCTCCAAAGCAGCTCTTTATTTTGTAAGCTGGAACAGAACTGAACAGCAAACAGCTCAGCCGGCCTGCTTTTATAGGCAGCCGGCTGTCAACATTGTAGCAACAACAACCCAGGGTTTCCCGCCTAAAATAACTGACGTGGACCTGAGTGAAAACTACATACACAATACTCCTGGTGGCCAGGGTGAGAACTTCAATACATAACAATATGTACAGCCAGTTCCTCACAAGTCCTGTGCATTTGTACCTCCAGCATTTAAACACATAATCCAGGAGTTGCCAGCATGGGGCCGAGGGACATGATGGCACCCTTGAGATATTTCCCTGGTACCTATGAAGGGTCTTTGTCATCTCCCCCCCCCCACTGCCCCCTGGACCATCAGCTGCTGAGGGTGGTTGCCTTTTTCCTTCTTCAAAAAATGCATAAAGCTGAAGGGAAAACACATAGAGCTGAAGAAGGAAGTTGGAAGAGAGACGCTCTTTCCCACTTCCTCTTTCAGCTCTATGTG